AAAGCTATAGTTAAGAAACCTATTAACGTATGCATTATAGCAAGCAGTTAAGTAATATTTAGCAAAAGTATTATTATAAAGGCTATATATACTATAAGCTTATTTAGCATAGCGTTTAAAAGGTTTATAAGTTAAAGCATTTACTTTAACTAACAAAACGTTAGCAATAACTAGAAACTATAAGATAAGTACTTAACTTATAGCTATTAAACGCTATAAGGCTAGTAAGTCTGCAAATAAGCAGGTTTATACGTACAACTTATTAAGTAAGGCTATTAACGCATAGTCTTAAGAGTATATACTTTTTAAAAGGCTACTATTATAAGTACAGCTAAATATAATTAACGCTAACGCTAAATAATAGTACTTAGCTTTAGTAAAGAATAGTAATTAAATATAAGTTAAAGCTATAGTAATATTAAAGGCCTTAAATAGCTTATTTTGCTAAATATACTTATATAAAGTAAAGGCATACTCTTAAATAGTAGTAGCTATGCCTAATAATAAAGTAAGAATCTAAAACTTATTTTAAATTATTAGTATAAAATAGTGCTTATATAAATAAATTAAAAAATAAACCTAGTAGTAAGCAACGTTGCTAATAATATAAGTAGTATACTACTAACCTTAAGTTATAGGTATAGCTATATAGTTAAAGACCTTAATATTAAGGTAAAGTTATGCTATATATATAGTATATAGTAAAAACCTATTATAAGTATAAAAGACTATAGCTGCTAAAAGAAACTCTTCTTCTACTATTTACAAATAATATAAAAAGACATTACTAGCAATATTTAAAGTACTAATAGCAAGCAATAAAGCGCTAGACACCTTAATAGTAGTCTTATTAGCCTTAAAATCCTTAGTAGTAAGCACTTTACGTTTTTAATAAGGTGCTATAGTTTTTTTTATATAGCTATACGGTTTAACTATTAATAATATAAAAAGAAATATAAATATAAATATATAAAAGAAGTTATAAATAGATAAAAACTACTAAAGGCAACTACATTATTATATTATAGAATTACCTTACTAATAGTTACTAAAGCAACTAGCGTAAAAAAGGGACGAATATAAGTAAAATAGCACGCGCACAAGTGTATACTAAGGCAACCTATAAAAAAGTTGTTGCTAAATGCTAGCTACAAACGTCTACGTTAAAATGTTACTATATATAATAAAAGAAGCAAGAAGGGCTAATAAAAGAGTATAGCCTTACTAACAAAGTGTTAGCTACTTTATACTTAATAGCTAAGCTAGCAAGTCTTATAAAACTACTAAGTAAAGGCCCTTCTTAAGTAAGAGCACCTAAAGTGTATACTAAACTAAAAGCGCTTAAGATAAGCGCTTTAAGAAAGGGAATAGTTATAAAGGGATTAACTAAAGTGTAAGATGCTAGTATAAATTAGTAATAATTTAAGCAAGCTTATAGAATAAAGTATATATAGATTACGTAAGGCTTAGCAAGGCTAGAGTAAAGCGTTTAACAAGTCTTGCCTAGTAGTAAGAAAAAGTATCGCTAAGCCTTACTAAGAGCACTAAGCCGGATTTAGCAACCGACGGCAAATAAGCAAAATAACGCTTAGCAAGCTTTACTAAGCGCCTTAAGCGTTCTGCTACGCTAGACTGCTATCGTAGCATATGTATATTTTATAAGCGCTTGCTAGTAACAAATTTAAAAGGAGTAAGACGAAGTCTTACTTTTACCCTCTTTATACCTTTTATTCTGCATTCTATCTTGCTATAAATTATGTGCCTTAAGTAATACCTATTATAGGTATAAACTAGCTTAGTGTTTCTAGTAATATTTTCTAGCTTTATAAGTTTTCTCTTTACTTGCTTTAACGTTTCTTTAAGCGCTCTTAAAGATAGGTAACCTATTCTTTAATAAATAAGGCATAGTTTCTAGCGCTTACTTAAAGACTATATATAACTTTTAAATTAAATTTATTAAATTTAAGATTAGTCTTAGCATCTTAAATAAAGTCTTAGTAAAATTCTTAAGCTATATAATTTATTTTCTTTTAACTCTTTTTTATATAAAAGTATAAAAGAAGAAGTGTTTTAAATTAGTAAAAAGAACCTAGTCTTTTTAATATTAAATTATTAAAAGAATGCCTTATTTATAGCTACTAGCTTAGTGCTATTAATATAATTACTTACTTTATAAAAGCATAAGCTAGATATAATATTTAAAGGAAAGCTTAGTACTAAGAAAATATAGTTTAAGGTTACTTTATATACCTTACTATTTAGTCTTACTATCTAAAGTACTACTTAGCTTATAAACTTAGTAATAATAAGGCTACTATTAGTATAAATTATAATTATAGCAGTATGCTTTATACTAGGTTAAAACTAACTAAGGGTATTAGTAATATAAATATTACCTCTTATATTAAATAGCTAGTTTTTTATATAGCTACTATAGAAGTTATAAAAAAGATCATCGTTAGCATAGCCTTTATTAAAGCTTAAGTTTAAGCCTTTATAATTTAGTTACGCATTTAGCGCGTAGCTATTACTACTTATAATAATAATGCTATTATATAATCTATAGTAAAAGTCTATGTTTACTACTTTTTATAAGTTATTAGTAATTATAATAGCACTAAAATTAAGTGCTAGTATAAACGTAAGCACTTTATTTATAAGTATAAACTAAATAGTAGTTATAAAGCTAACTACTTTACTAAAGAGCTTTTTCTTTACTATACTACTAGTCTTACTTTTAAAGGCTTACTTAAGGCAAAGCTTTAAATTCTTTTTTTAGTATTTAGTAATTATATACCTAGTATAATTATAGTATATATATTTTGCACCTATTTAGTATTTACTAAAAGCCTTAGTTTTTAAGTTCTTAGTGCTATAACTACTATCTATTTTTCTTAGTCATTTTAGTTTTAATTTTAATTTTATTAGTGCTACTACTATTGCTACTTTTAGCGCTTAGTATAGTAAACGTCTGCTTCTTATAGTAGTTTGTAATAAAAAGCTTTACTACTATATAAACCTTATTATCAGCTATAGTAGTTTATTTACTTTACTAAAAGTCTAGCACTTTTACATTTAAAGTAAAGAACTTTTTATAATTATAGTTAATTAGATTTATAGCGTTTTACTTGCTTATAAGCAGCTTAATATAAGTATTATAGCTATAAATAATTTCTTTAATTCTAGTAAAAAAGTCCTTTATCTTTTTACTATTATATTAGCGTATTATTATTAAACATTTAGTACTATAATTAATAGCTAAATTAGCTTTCTATAGTTTTAAACGTTATTTAGGCGTTTTATAAATAATCTTAATGTTATTTTCTTTAGTTTGCTTAAGTAAGCTATCATTAACCTAGAAGGTTATAGCGTATTTAATTAATTAATGGTTATTATAGCTATTTACTTAATAGTAGTAAAATAGTTAATGCTAAGCAAGCTAAGGCCTTTAAATACATTCTTCTTTTATTTATTTTAGGCTATACTACTAGTAAGCTTTAGCACCTACTTTAAGCAGTAGCGTATAAATAATTTAATGTGTATTAAGTTAACTTAAATTAGATTAAGCGTTATAGCACTAGCTTATAACATAGTAAAAGATTTAAGTTCTAGTTTTAAATTATAAAAGAATTTATAAGCCTATAAATGCTAATTAAGCTTTTTACTACTAGCGTTGTTTTATTATTTTAAGTATCTTTATTAAGCTTAGCCTTATAAATGCTATTTTTGTTAGCTATATAAATGCTACTTTTAATGCTTAACTTAAACTTAGCGTCTAATTCTAATTTAACAGTTAAAAGTCTACTGCTTCGTTTACTACTAAGAGTTTTGTTTTAGCTAAGTAAGGTTATAAATATAACCTTAGTATCCTTACCTAGGCTCTTTTATCCGTTAGATTAGTGCCTAAAGCACTAAGTGCTTTATAAAGCGTATAATAAAGGCTTTTTTTAGTTTATTTATTTAGCTTCTTTTAGTCCTCTTAGGCTAGGCTTATAACTTATAAAGGTTAAAGAAGGCGATATATAGCAGTTATATAACGTAATGCACTATAAGGAGCAAGAGGCTAAATAAGGTCTAGTATAGGCGAAAGAGTGTTGTATACTAAGGAAGAAATAGATACATTGCGACCCTTCTAGGGATCCGTATTAATACTAGTGCTAGGCCCCGCTTTTATGCCTTCTAACTAATTATAAGCCTGTACGGCTAAGTGGGGCGGAAGGGCTATAGTGTGGCGGATTATAATGCTTAACACTAAGCCTAGAAATAAGCTTTTTTAAATATAGCTAAGAAGATTCTATTATTAAAAAGTTAAAAGATTAAAGATTTGAATAAGTTTAAGAAGGACTTAGGTTTAAATAGTAATAAGAATAAAAGTTAAAAACTTATTAGTTAGTAAGTTAGTTATTCTTACTTACTTGCTAAACATTTTTTTTTAATACTATTACTTACTTTATTTATTACTTACCTTACTATATTATTACTTACTTTCTTAACTTTATTATAAGTTAACAGTTACTAATACTATTAGTAATACTAGTATACTAGTACTGCTAGTACTAGTTAGTACTAGTGTACTAGTTTCCTAACCTTGCTTATAAGTAGTATAACATATATATAGTAAAAGATTATAAAGTAATTTACGAATTACTATAGAAGCTTTTAAAATACTTACTTATTAAATTACTACTATAGTACTATAGTACTTAAGTACTACTAGTATTTTTTTTAACCTTGTATATAGTATAAATAAAGAAAATATAGTATAAATAAAAAGTATCTTACCTTTTACAGCGTATAATTATAATAACAAAGCATTAAAAAATTAGCTATTTGTATTTCTGTCTACAGAAGGTAGAAAACAAGCTAAGAAGGTAAGAGCGTTTAATCTGCCGCCCAAGCATAAGAAGAAAAGCCATTTTATCAAGTATCTAATGGCCAAGACAGTAACGAATCCGGTGCATAAGCACGGTGAAAGTCCACCAGAAGACTAGTATAGCTTTTTAAGCCTCGTCTAAAACTTCTTCTTCGCCATACGCCTCCTCGTCGTCTTCAGCAGTAGCGTCCTGGTATTGTTGATACTCTGACACTAAGTCATTCATGTTTGACTCGGCTTCAGTGAATTCCATCTCGTCCATTCCTTCACCAGTGTACCAGTGCAAAAAGGCCTTGCGACGGAACATAGCAGAAAATTGTTCTCCAACACGCTTGAAAATTTCTTGGATAGCAGTCGAGTTGCCTACAAAAGTAGAAGACATCTGTAGACCAAGAGGAGGGATGGAGCAGACTGCGGTTTGGACGTTGTTGGGAATCCACTCGATGAAGTAGGCCGAATTTTTTTGCTGCACCTTCTGCATCTGATCTTCTACCTCTTTCATAGAGACCTTTCCACGGAAAATAGCCGAGCAGGTTAGGTACCGCCCGTTTCGGAAGTCAGAGCCTGCCATCATGTTCTTCGGATCGAACAGTTGTTGGGTAAGCTCTGGCACGGTCACCGCTTGGAAGGAGCGGGAGCCACGGCTTGTTAGAGGAGCAAACCCTACCATAAAAAAATGTAGGCGGGGAAACGGGACCTGAAACATTAGAGGAGAAATTAAACAATATGCTAGCCGTTAGAATACACTTACCATATTAACAGCCAGCTTCCGTAGATCAGAGTTAAGCTGCCCTGGAAAACGAAGCGAGGTGGACACGCCAGACATGACAGCAGATACCAAATGGTTAAGGTCACCATATGAAGGGTTGCTCAGCTTGAGGGTACGTTGACAGATATCGTACAAAGCCTCGTTGTCGATACAAAATGTTACGTCGGAATTCTCAACCAATTGATGTATCGACAGTGTCGCGTTGTATGGCTCAACCACCGTGTCCGATACTTTCGGGGAGGGAAAGACGCTGTACGTTGCCATCATACGATCCGGAAATTCTGTAACCACATTAGAATACAAAGCAATAGTCATACAGGCTAGTACAGCTTACCTTCACGGATCTTAGAAATCAGGAGCGTTCCCATTCCCGAGCCGGTGCCTCCGCCGATTGACTGGGTAATCTGGAACCCTTGAAGAGAATCGCAACCTTCCGCTTCGCGACGGACCACATCAAGGACTTGGTCGACGAGTTCAGCACCTTCGGTGTAATGACCTTTGGCCCAGTTATTGCCAGCACCTGACTGGCCGTGGACAAAGTTGTCCGGACGAAACATTTGGCCAAAAGGGCCAGAACGCACCGCGTCCATGGTGCCGGGTTCCAGGTCCACAAGCACCGCGCGCGGCACGTACTTGTTGCTAGCAGCCTATGCTTGTAAGTATGACCTAGTCTACATAGGTTTTACCGGTCATAGTACGCACCTCGTTGAAGTAAACGCTCATGCGCTCAAGCTGGAGATCAGATGTGCCATGGTAGCTGTTGAGTTAGACGTGGATGGGCCTCAGTGTAACGATGCGTAGTCGGGGGGATTTGTATCACATACACGCCATTGCTGTCAAGCCCATGCTCGCCAGAAATTGTCTGCCAAAAAGCCGTGCCGATTTGATTGCCCTGATAAACTTACGGTAAGCCGAAGCGATCATGAAGGCAAAATTCTGACAAGAACACTTACGCATTGGCCGGTTTGAAGATGCACCTTTATCAGACCGTGTATTAGCAACCTGATGGCACTACAATAGAGGAGTACAACTTACAATCTCACGCATGATTAGAGCGTGACTTGCAAAGACGAAATTGTCGCTGTGGTTGTTGGTTTGAGGGTGAGTACTGAGTAAGCTTTAGGCTCGGGGGTTTGCCGTATGCTGTGGTGTAAAGAAAAAGGTGGTTTACAGGTCAATTCACACCGAGAACCCTCTTATATCGCAAGGACAGTGATCGTTCGTTTCAGTGAAGAAAGCTGTATGAAGCCAAACATGCAGACTGGGCTAAAAACTCTGCTAAGTGGTCCGTGCATCAAACTGCATCTGTACGAGTAGGCAGCCACTTGAAATCGTGGCCTACATAATTCAGGAGTACTCCGTACTCCGTAAGGACACTCGTAATATCCTAATTCATTGGACCCAGTTTAAAATGCACCACTCCTATCTTACTTACTCCGTAGCCTAAATTAACGCTTTGTTCTCTTCCAAAACTACGGAGTAAATACATATGTACCAACGTACGAAGTAAAAAAAATCGTATCTTACAGTCTACTGTGCTCCGTATCTTACATGCGGCGTACCCCGTGCGATGTTTCTGGTGCAGATAAGTTCTATACAGTTACAATAATGCAAAGCGTTCCGGCCCAACTAGAATGTGCTGCTGCCCGCTAGCGAATGCATGTCTTCATCGATACCGCGTACCAAATATAGAGTATACAATAGTGACTGCTACAATTAGATGTAGTGCTTAGTAGCAATACATAGTATAGAGTACTTACAGCACGCACACCGTCTACATAGGGAATGCACAGTTGCAAAGTGGCAATCACCTAACGGCTCCGTAAATGGGGTGGATACAGTATCCACTCGCAAGTATAAAATGTAATGGCAACCGCCAGATTCGCCGTATGACTGTGTCCGGCAACAATAAGGGGCTGCCGGTTACACCTTACATTTAAAACCCCTTTAAATTTTAATTACTATAACTGGACTATATAGGCATACTATTATTAGCTTGCTTAAAGTTATATAATTTGATTTTAATAAATATATAACTATTGTCTTTTATTATATCTAAAAATAAATAGTATACCTTATATATAAGCGCCGTTTTATTAGTATGTTATAACCTCATTATCTTACTAACTTAACTAGCGGCTACATTAACCGTAAGTATAAATTTAATAAGGGTTTTTATCTTAAATAAAAAATCCTTATAAAAGCTTTTTTATTAGAACACTAAGCTGTTTTTTTTTAACGCTATATAAAAAATTCAAATCTTTTAAATATATATTATTTTTTACGTTAGTACACTTTAGTATAGTATAAATTATTTATTTTTGCAGTAACGCATATTGTTCTTTTTGCTTATATTATTCGAAATATAATATATAAAAGGATCTAATTACTATAATTAGCTTAAGAGAAATAACGTAGAAAGTAATCTATTAGGTTTTCAGACAAATCAAAACTTTTTAAGCAAGTGTTTATTTGTTAAAATGCTTTAGCTTTTATATAACTAGTATAACGTTTATTTTTATTTCATATTCTTAATAGAAAATGTAATAAATTCGTAAATTCGTAAATGCTATAGAATTATAGAAAAGTATATTGATTAAACAGACTTAGAATACTAGGAAACTTGTGCAGAGCTTATAAATGCTAGCTAGTAATGCTACCATATTAATTCAATTATATATACTATATATATACCAACTTGTTATTTAATGCATAAGTACGGCCTGCCGCTAATACTATGCTGTTAATATTATAAAAGCCTACATAACTTTACAAAGATAAAAGCAACTTTTATCTTATTAGGTCTAGGCTAACTAATTTACAGATTGTTAACCTAAGTATACAAGCTATAGGTAAATTATTCTGCAACTGGCTTCTGGCCTATAACAACTAGCGATCGGTAGTAGCAATGCACATTAAGACTCTTTAGCTCGCGACGTAAATGAGCAGCGTATACGGAAACATTTTCCGGACTCCATTCGATCTTTGACGCCATATAGTTGAAAATGCCCTCCGTATCGTGGAATATAACGGCCCGCGTATACAGACCGATTTCGCGCTGCTTAGGATCTTTAGGCCATTCGGACATAGGCATCTAAAAATACCAAGCATATCATTAGCATACTAGCCGAGGGAGATTCACTAGCAAAATAAATATCAACGAACCTTGATCGGCGTCTCTTTGATATTAACAAACCCACTAGCATCGAAGGCCTTGCGTTGTAGCCTATCCCCAACAGGGTTAAACGACGCCTCTGTGCCGATTTTCTTGCCGCCTTCCCGAAAGATGTAGCCATAATCGGCGACGGCTGATCTGCTAGGAATGCTGTCATCATCGCACTGAATATCGGCATCTAGCTCGTAGGACTCAAGCCATCCACCGGGCTTCAGGACATTGTATGCCTTTTTAAACAAGGCGTTCCAGTCAACGACGGAGCCGATCATCCAACGGATGTGGACGAAGTCGAACGCGTTTGAGGGGAAGGTCCAATCTTGGGCCATATCCTCGATTTGGCTATAGCCGGGGGTTTTATAAGCAAGTTGAACTAAATAAAGCTAGATTTACTTACAATTCAAGATTAGGCGGCACCCATGTTGGTTGAATAGGAGAAATGTCGGTGCCAATGACTTGAGTTTCAGGACGTTCATCTGCAAAGTCGCTGTAATTTGTTAATTTCTCTTTCTTCTTCTGTCTTGCTTACCCCTTTAAGGATGCCGGCTTACATAGCCCATACTCCAGTTCCAGTTCCAATATCCAGTGCTTTCTGCAATACATCTTAGTACAGAGTACCATTTTAGAGCCCGTTTCCTTCTCCCTCAATGCGATCAAGACTTACATCAATATGTTCGGGAAGAGGTGCAAGGTACAGCTTATCACCCAAAGCAAGCGTGTATGCGTGATGCCTATGCCGTTTAATAGTATGTCAGAAACAATGAATAGAAATCATTGCATTTACTTGATTAAGAGTAACGCACATAATATCCACCATACCATTCTGCAGGTTGTCGTTTGGGCCCCAGTAGATATTATCACCGCAATCGGCATGGTAGGTGCGCCCGTTCACTTGTCGGTAGTGTTGGATACTAGATGTGAGAGATGCTGTCGAGCTCGCGGCATCCTCGATCGCTGAATCCCTATCGTCGTCCTACAATACCGTATTAGTGGCCCTAGTCGTTATCTATACTCCTTGCTACCGATAAGGAGCGTTGACAGAGAAAAAAACGAATGAAATTGAACCCTAACCGATGGCAACTCGGTCCAACTATGATAACGTTGAGACTCTTGGGTCAGGTTTGGTAGGGGAGAAATTTGTATTTCGGGGGAGGCCGCAGCGACGGGTTCCAGAAAGGTCTCCACAGCACCCTTTAGTGAGGCCGCTGCGTTGCTTCTAGGCAATGCCTTATCGCTCTGAGGTGACGCTGCCAAGCTATAATTAGCATCCATAGTGCTATTTAAACAGACAAACTATGCTGTTGTTTTTTTACTAGAGAAAAGGGAATAATAGAGCGATCCGTTTTATTGTCCGGACGTACTCCGCACTATATACTACGTACCCGTTTACCGATTACATAAGATATGTCGTAAGATAAGACCATTTGTTAAGGTATCAGTGCAAACGGGTCCTATTATCAGCTGTTAGCAACTAATCATGTTATATATTACATACTATGAAGGTTAAAGGAGGCTATACGTGGCGGTTATATAGCGTGATGCACTGTAAGGGGCAGGAGGCTGAATAGGGTCTAGTGTAAGCAGAGAGTGTTATGTACTAAGGAAGAAATAGATACATCGCGACCCTTCTAAGGGTCCGTATTAGTACTAGTGCTAGGCCCTGCTTTGGTGCCTTTTAACTAGGGTTGGGAAACTAGTACAACTAGTACTAGGACTAGTACGCGCAAGACTGTTAATTCTGCTTTATATATTATGCTTAAACTTATACAATTAATATTATTTAACAGATTAAGGTTAGAGCATTATACTAATATATATCACACCCTTTAAAAGCATATAATCGCTTAGTAATTAACGATTAGTACAAACTAGTATTAAAAACTAGTACTAGTACTAGTCTTAAGTACTAATTGCTAGTTACTAAGCGAATGTATGCTTTTTAAAGGTGTACTGTATATTAGTATAATGCTTAAACCTTAATCTATTAAATAATATTAATTATATAAGTTTAAGCATAATATATAAAGCAGAATTAACAGTCTTGCGCGTACTAGTCCTAGTACTAGTTGTACTAGGCAGTAGTATTTTTCCCAACCCTGCAGTTTTAACTAATCACAGGCTTATACAGCTAAGTAGGACAGAAGGCCTATAGTAAAGCGGATTCTAATGCTTAATACTCCCCTTAAATATGCTACGCAGGCGCACCGTGATGCACTAGAATTATCCTTAGTAGCCTATTCACCGCTGCTAGCCTATTAGGCAAGGTATTACCTTTTAAACGCTGCCTTAGACAGCGCCTTTGTTATAATATTAGCAATTTAATCCTTAAATGTTATATACTATACTATTAGCAAGCTGCTTAGCACGCTTTTACAAAAGTAGTGCTACTTAACGTTAAAGTGCTTTAATTATTCTTTAAATTTAAGCTTCTTTATAATGCTAATTGTAAAGGTGTTGTTTATAAACATTTAAAAGTGAGCTTATAGGCTTATTTTAAGTATAAATTGCTTAATTTAGTAAGCCTACGTTATTACATAGTAGATAGCGCTATATTTAACTTTATAAGTAAAGGTGCTAATAGTTAAAAGCTTCTTAGCTTTTCAAAAGACTAGCCCTTTAAAGATCTTAAAAAAAAAGCTGTATATAGAGTAATATTTGACTAGATTGTTAGCTTAAGACGTATTAAGCTATCCTTTAAGTCTGCTACCCCCTGTTCTAACCACCCCTCCCTTCTAACCAATAATTACTTAATCTACGCACATCTTTTATTTAGTCTTCCTAGACTTCTTCACTAGTTACATAATGAAAAACGTGCATAAATCTGTTTATAGACTCCGCCTATATCTCTCTAGCCTTGTTTTCCGGTTAAATCTCCTTTATAACGCGCTCTTTAACTGCTATAACCTTTTGAATTTGTATAAACTATATATAGCGTAAGCTTTACTTTATAGCGCTAACTAACCTATTGCGCTAATTATAATGCTTTTAGCTTATTAATTTGCTACTTTTAAAAGGCTATTATAGCTGTTTTTAAATTAATTACGTAGCTAGCTTTATAAAGAAGGCGTTATATAAACTTATTTAAATTAATCTTTTTCTTTACTAGCGTAATCTACTATAGCATTTTTTAGCTAGTAGATAGCGTATTAAAAACAATATTGCTAGATTAAGTATAGTATAAAGAAGTAGTATAAAGTATATTAGAAGTCTTTAGCGTAGCTAGAGTATATAGCGCTTATAGTAGAATAAACAAATTTAAAAGTACTTATCGTAAAGATATTAGCTATACTATTAGAGCCTTTTAACTACTTTTAATATTTGTTTTTATTAAGGCGTTTTATTTAGCCTTTAAGTAATAGTAGATAAAGTTTTGCTTATAAGTAGCGTTTAAATTATTAAGGTTAAAAAGGTTTTAGAGGTAAAATTAGTATTATAACTTAAGTAGTAAAAAGTAGCTTATATTAAGAGGCTAAGTAATATAAGAAGTATAAGTATATAAATAATAAGGTTTAGCTTATTATTTATATACTTAATTATAAAAGTATTAGTAATATAGCTTTTATAACTATTAAAAACTAGTAGCTACTATTAGCTTATATTATCTAGCTTAATAAAAAGTAAGAAGATAAATATAAGCTAGTTAACTATAAGTTTATTATTAGTTTAGCTTAAGTTAGTTACTATAAAAACCAAGTTATTATATTTATTTTTAAAAGAAGTAAGAAAGTACTATTACTAGACTAACTTACTAGTAAAAATAAAGTGAAGAAAAAAAGCTTGATTAATAGCTAAAATATACTTAAATATTATTACTTAAACTTAACTTTTTACTACTCTTATAATCTTTAAGCTTTTCTTAGCCTTACTTATATATAATAGTTTATATATAATATATAATTATAAAAGCTTAAACTAGTTTATACTGTTATATTAAAACTTTAACTTAATAAACTATAAAAGACTAGTAGGCAAGAGCCTGCCGTCTGATTAATATATAAACAAAAGGTACGCAATACCGCAACCTTAAGAAGGTATAGCATAGTAAAGTAGCTATGCTTTACCCTATTTACGTATTAAGATAGTTTGTTAAGTCTAATGCTTAGTAAGCATTAAGTTTCTAAACTAGTATGTAAAGCGCGTATATAAAATACCTTTATACTATTCTTCTTCTTTTAAGGTAACGCCTTTATTAGCTAAAGGGTGCATATATAGTAGCTGCTTACTTATTAAAACCCCTTTTTTAATAACCTAAAGAAACAAGTTACGTATTTTAGGTTATAAGCTAAACAGTCGCAAACCGCTTGCTATATAACTGCATTCTTATATTATAAAAGCGTATATATACTACTTAGTTTATAGTAGAAGTAATTAATAGATCTAACCTAATATAAGGGCTATCTTACTTTTTTAAAACTTTTTAAAAGGCATATAGCTTAGATCCTAATTAAGGAATTCTTAAGTTACTACTACTAAGGTGTTATAAGACGGCTAGCTTTAAACACTAGTTGTATAAAGGTATAGTGCGCGCTAACTGAAAACGGCAGCATATAGTTAAGATTTTTAGCTAATAGTAGTAGTAGAATAAAGATAGTAATAGCTGTTTATTACCTGCTAATTCTAAGACTATTATTTACTAGGTAGTAAAGGTAATTTACTACTAAAATATATTTTTATTTAATTATAAACGTTTTTTACCTATTTATTAAAGTAAAGTTAATACGTTTTTAAGATATATTTAAACGTTTAATTTTATAGTCTTTTTATTATCTTAAAGTATAAGAAGATTAAATAAATCTTTTAATTTAAAGTAAAATATACTTAATCTTATAAAACTACTCTTGCTTTTTTGGCCTTTTTATTTTATTTTATTAAGTAATAAGTTAATATAATAAAATAGTAATAAGCTAATAAATATTTATAATATATTATTAAACTAAAGTTACTTTTAAGTTTTTATAAACTTTTTTATATAAATATAATTCTTATAAAACGCTTAGTATAAACGTATATACTATTTATAAATAGTATAAGTTTTTAATAGTATAGTATTTGCTAAGTATTAGCTAACCTTATAGTAAAGCCTATACCTTAACTATATCTTAAAGGTATATCTTAATATTTACTATAAAATATAAAAGTATTCTACGCACTTACCTACGCACTAGATAGGCGACCTACTACTTACTAAGCGTTAAACTTAACAAACTATCTTAATACGTAAATAAAGCAAAGTATAGCTACTTTACTATACTATACCTACTTAAGGTTACGCTATTACGCACCTTTTATTTATATATAAATTAAATAGTAGTATAATAAGCAATGCCTTAAGCACAGAATTTATAGCAGAATAAAATAAAAGGTATAAAGAAAGTAAACGTAAAACTTTATCTTACTCCTTTTAAATTCGTTACTAGCAAGCGTTTACAAAATATATATATGCTGCAATAGCGGTCTAGCGTAGCAAAATGCTTAAAGGCGCTTAGCGAAGCTTACTAAGCGTTATTTCGCTTATTTGCCGTTAGTCGTCGAATCTAGCTTAGCGCCCTTAGTAAAGCTTAGCAATACTTTCTTTTACTACTAGGTAAGACTTGCTAAACGCCTTACTCTAGCCTTGCTAAGCTTTATGCGGTCTGCATATACTTTATTTTGCAAGCTTGCTTAAATTATTACTAATTTGTACTAGTATTTTATACTTTAGTTAATCTTTTTATAACTATTCCTCTTTTTAAAGTGCTTGTCTTAAGCGCTTTTAGTTTAGTATATACTTTAAGTGCTTTTACTTACAGAAAAACTTTACTTAGTAGTTTTATAGGACTTACTAGCTTAGCTATTAAGTATAAAGTAGTTTAACACTTTAGTAGTAAGGCTATACCTTTTTATTAACCTTTTTTACTTTTTTTATTATGTTAGTAACGTTTTAATATAAACGTTTATAGCTAGCGTTTAATAAAAACTTCTTTATTGTTTGCCTTAGTATATAATTATACGCGTATTATTTTAGTTATATTTATTCTTTCTTTACGTTAGTTGCTTTAATAACTATTAGTAAAGCAATTATACAATATAATAATATAGTTGCCTTTAATAGTTTTTATTTACTTATAACTTTCTTTTATATATTTATATCTTTCTTTTATTTTATATTATTAATAGTTAAGATGCATAGCTATATAAAAAAAACTATAGTACCTTCTTAAAAACGTAAGACGCTTACTATAAAGGTTCTTAAGGCTAACAAAACTACTATTAAAGTATAAAGTTTTACTTTGTATATAAAAATAAGGCCTATAGAAGATTTATAATAATATAAGTAATTATGTAAAATAGAATAAACACTTAAGAAAAGCGTTTAATAAAAGACTATTAGTAAAACAGTTATTTATATTCTTATATAAAAAAAAGAGTAAGTGTAAAGGTTAGT